CTGACATTCCAAACAACGTGCTTTTGTTCTCATTCAACCATCACAAACAACAATGCATATGCATTTTATTAATATATGTTACAGTGGCATAAATATTATGCAATTGGCAGATGCAAAAAGCATGAAGAGGATACCAGGAGGGAAATGATGCACTTAATGGGCAGTTTCAGAGAAGCATCGGGACATTATCCATATTGTTTTAAGCAGAAGCAAAGTCGAATAACATGGCATCTGTATCCACTGAACAGGAAACTGTATTTTACCATATATAGCAGCAGAACTAGCTTCAAAGATCAGGTACCCACTGGTTCTCTAAATAGATTAGATTTGTTGTGACACATCACAATGGACATCGTTCCACATTTGGCTTTTAAGGTAGTCAACATTATTGCTTCAAATATACAAGAGAAAGTATCACCTATGAGGATCCATATGACCCCTACTAGTTATAGATGGAGTAATTGATTGATTGAGTACCTATACTATGATGAATTGACAAGCAATAATTATAGAGCTCTAAACTTGCTATGAACTTCTTAATTAAGGTAACAGCAACGGAATTTTCTGCCGATTCAAATGGTTGACAATATGATAACATATTCATTACAACCCCTACAAAACTAGCTGTCCATTTTTGCTTCCCTATAGTCAAACAAAGTGACCTTTGACTAAGACTTCTAAACGTATTCTTTCATCACTTGCATACAACAAAAACTGCAGACTCTATCACTCTTCAATATATGAATTTATCTATATCAGATTTAACTTTGAAATTGGTCAAATTGACCAGCAGAAAGCAAAAACTGACAGAACTGACAGATAAAATGGAGCGGAGGAAGTACAATACTACTTTTTTTGGAGACTTGGATACTAAAAGACAACTATCAGGGAGACGAGAGTGCAGAATAATATTATCCTTTAGTTATACTTCAAGACGCACAGTGGACCCAGGAATGATAATGGTGTGAGTAGTAATGTTCTCCTAGAAGGGACAAGAAGAGTAACTGGGAGCTCAATTCAAGTTTACCACAATCAGATGTGAGGTTCTCAAGCTTCTTGCACCTTCACCCATTCAAAGAAACCCAATCCCCTTTAATCATGCCCACTGGTTCCATTATTTGATCTCTTCGTAGTGAAGATACAAAATTACCACTTCCTCCTTCCTCAATAAGAAGAATGGCCGGGTTCAAAGTACTAGGTCAGTCCGCTTGATTTCTGTGTGATAAAGTTTTAAATTTTTTAAAATAAAAATCGCATACTTAGAAGCTATACGAAACTAATATAATTATGATTTTTTATATATTCAAAAGTATTAAAATTTTGTAAAATAACCTACTCAAAGCAGAAACTATTTGACTCCCAAGTAGTAATAGTGTCATTCTCTTTAAGATGGACTCGTATTATTCAAAAGAAAAAGTGCCTCAAAAGCCACAGGATGATCAGCTTACAATGGTAAAAAGCAGTAAACCATGTAACAGAGTTACTACTAAAGCGCGGAAAAGGTGCAGAAATCGAGATAGAGACCCTCTAAACCCATTTGCCCCAGAAATTGAAATGACACTCATGGTACTCAAATCCAGAATTTAATTTTATCTGGCACTTTGGCCCACTTTCAGATACATACCAATACAGTATAGCATTTTAAAAAACCAAAAAGACACAGAAAAGTCGTGCATGATTGCTGCAGCTCTCACCTTACCATATTTCAGCCATCTAGCTGTAGACACATCCGGTTAAAAGTATGGCTAGGAGTTTGATATACAGTACATAACTTACCACGAAATGCAACAAGGCATCATGTAGTTGACATGTTAATACAGACCACAAGCTAAAACCCAAGAAATGAAATCGAGAACAAGCAGTATGAAATGTAACTTCAAGTAGGGCTTTTGGAACTAGGGCATACCGCGAGTTGGTTATTGGACAAATTAAGCACGATTAAGGAGCGAATCTTCCCAAAAGCTTCAGGCAGCATCCTCAGCTGCCTGCCGGATAAATCAACCCTTTCTACCCTCTTCCCTGACGCCTCCTGCAAAATAGCAATAACTTCCTCATTCATTTCCTCTTTGAACTCAGAACTCTTCTCACCAAGCGCCTGTTCAAGTGCTTCCACATCACCACCAGCAACGGCAGTCTCATAAATCTTCTCCAACCTTCGCTCCGCGTCCTTCAACATCTTCTCATACGCCTCGTGCAACTCATCCAAGGCTATTAACGCCTTGTACTCCTCTTTCTCCTTTTCCACAGCCTTTCGACACTCGTCCTCTTTAACCGCCAAGTCCGATCTCCAATCCTCCCTCTCCATCTCCGGCGGACGTGGCGAAAGGACAACCTCCTCGAGACGCTTGGACAAGTTTGCTTCGATCTCGGCTAGCTTCATCTTCGCAGTATCAACAAGCTCGTGATCAGGCCGCTCGCCTAGGGTTTTGAGCATTGATCGGGTCTGTGACACGTCAGCAACGGCTGAATTCATTGCGGCGATGACCTTAGGGTCAGTGAGATGAGGCATACGCTCGGTGATGTCGAAGTGAGGTTCTTTGGGAGGTTGAGGGAGGGGTTGGGGCTGTTCGATATCGAATTCATCGGCGGCAGTGCGTTTAGGGCCAATACTGGGAAGCTTGGACATGACGTAGGAGAGAATCGGAAATTTGGTAGGGTTTGGATCCATGGCTACTGCTACTACTGGAATTGAGATCAGAGATTTATGTAGTGAAATTGGGAAGGGAGCTTTGAGGTTTTTGAGTTGAAAGAGAAAACTGTGCTAAACTGATAGTGTGACAGTGAGCAGGCCAGGCCGGTTGACGAACTAATCCTGATATTAACCGTTTTCTACTGTTCGATCGCATCTAAAAGATAAAGATAAAATATAAAAACAGATCGCATCTCGATTTTTTAGGAAGAAAAAGAAAGGAGATCTTTTTACTTATTTAGTTGGGGGTGTAGATCCAATCTGGACTCACTTTTCCCTTTGTATTACTCTTCTTTTTTCGTTCTTATAATTTTAATCTTTCACTAGTAGAATTTTCTAAAATTTGAATGTGACATAATCTGTGGTATTTCATAAAATTGTTAAAGTGTTTAGCGTAAAGGTGTTAATCAGGCTGCGCCGGCCCACTAACAACGCGGTTCAACCCGTGTAGGTAAGGGATGGGACGGGTTGGCTAGGGTAGGGAGTTTTGCCGGACGGGGTCGGGTCTTTTTTGGCTACCGGAACCCGGCTATCCCGCTAACCTGTTCAAGAATTTTAACCGTGTTCCAGCCCGGTCTAGTCCGGTTTAAGTTATAAATATTGTTTTTTAAATTCTAACCGTTGCCCACGATCAAAATAAAAAATGACCGTTGGGCAATGGTCATTTTTTGCACTTTTAGCCATTTCGGCCTATCCCCTTACTAAAATAGCTCATCCACCCTAATAATTGATAAATTACATTTTTAGCCTTTTAAAAACTATAAATAGCCCCCCTTTTCTTCATTTTTTCTCACAACTTGTTCTCTTCTTTTACTCTTGTTCTCTCTCAATTCCCTCTTGATTATTGAATTGCTTATTGCTCTCAAGTTCTCAATTATTAATATTTCAAATTTTCAATTATTTACGGTGGCCACTACAAAATTACAATTATCAAGTGAAGTGTGGTTACCAGTTTTGTTAGATTAAAGTTAAATCACGCCCCGTACTTCTAGAGTGCGCTCACATATTGGGAACACTTTGAGGTGGTAGAAGAAAATGAAGAAGTTCGCAAAGTTTAGTGCAAGAACTGTGGTCGAGTCTTTAACGTTCGTCGAAAGTGGGAGGGCACAGCTGGTTTAAGGAGGCATATCAAGGGTTGTCTTAAGTGTCCTCCAGCAATTCGTATTTTATGTTGATTTGAGACAATTTGTGTTATTTTAAATTTATTAGACTTATTTAAGCTTACTATTAGACAAGTTAATTTAAAGTATTATTATGCAATAAAAATATGAAATGAAAGCCTTTGAAGTTTGATCCTTACATATTGGTCTTATTAAATAATTTTATGTAGCCACTTAATTTCAATTTTTAAATTTCGAATTTTAAACTTTAAACTTTAAAGTTTAAAGTTTAATTTTATGCCTTAAAATACTTATTTTATTATTTAAACGTTTGCAAACACTTAAGTAACAAAATACATTGAACAAGAAAACATAATACACAAAAAAAAAAAAAAAATTAAAGAAACCCCGCTCGGTCCTAACCCGATAAGCCCGAACCCAGACGGGTACACAAACCCAGAATATCCCAGCCCACTACTAGCCCGGAACACCAGCCCACTAACCAGCCCGCCCCACTAATCGGACGGGCTGTTTTTCCTCATGTCCAGCCCGGTCCAGCCTGTCCGGTAAACACCCTTAGTTTAGCGTCGGTGCCAACCAGTAAAAATTATTAGAATCACCTCATTTTTATTATCCAACCTTTTCCCAAAGGTATTCACATAAAGTAAAGGACAAGTCTGAAATGAAATACTCCTAGTAGATACTACTCTATCAAGCTTTCGAGCAGTCTTGATGTTTTAATTGACTATCTCAAAACATGCTAAAGCAGTTGAAAGATATCTAGGAACCAGACCTGTAGAGAAAGCTTGCTATGTTTTAAGTCAATGTTTATTTCCAGAGTATAAACTTTCGCAAGTCCAAGTCCCTGTAACAGTGACAGGAATTCTGCTTTGGTGCTAATAGTGTCTTTCAGGCATCTTGAGAAGCCCATTTACTGCTAATAATGTCTTCTAGTCATCTTAAGAAGCCAAATCTCCATTGTTTTTTGCAAAGATTCATCCCGCTCCTTTGACCCTGCGTTAATTTTATAAGCTTTTATTGAGTTCGTAGTAATTTACGTTTGTGGAAGCCATTGCATACTTCTGTTAATGAGCCTATTATGGCCTACAGTAGATGCAGTGACAGCAACGTATCCACTTTCTCTACTGTAGATAAGTAATTATTCTATTTAGGTTTTACTGCACCTTAACCAAAAGAACTCAGAGAACACGGGACCAAAAATAGCCGAGTTTCCCCCTCGAACCATAAGTTAATAATAGAACATGGAGTATTGAATCACTACTGTGAGAAGCTGATACATAAAGTGTGCAAAGTTTATCAAATGTGACTGTGACATTGATTGGTTGTGACAACTCTAATGTTGAACATCTGTATCTAAGTAAGTGGAAAATGCTGTATTTAAGTGAGTAAGTGGCAACATTTGCCAGGTTCCTATCAACTTGACAATAATATCTCCCTTTCAACCAACTCTAGTATGTCCTTGAGTCGAGTGGTAAATTTCCCAACAACATTCCTAGTTATTCTCTGCTCAAATTTGGTGTTTTTCAGCCACATTACACCAACACTAACATCACACTTGCATGAATTATGTACAGAAGTAGAGTCTTTGATGTCGTATCTAAACTGCACCTGCAAAGATTAAGAAATAAACCTAATCAACTTGTCCTGCTTTTACAGAACAGACAACTGTAATGAACAATTGAAACGTACTCGGAAATGATCACCAAACGGGACATCATGCAGGGCCATGATCTCATTGATGGTCCATCCACCGTCATTAGCAATAGGAGATTTTTGTTGTGTGCTTGTAACTTCACCACCAAAGACTGAGATGAAGCGGTTGAATTTGTAAGATACGAGTCTCTCAGAAACATTGGGAGCTACAGTTTCCCATGAAGTTGTGACATAATTGAGACAGCCAGATTTGCTCATTACTCTATGCTCCAAATCTCCTCCATCAAACATCTGCATCAGTGATTTAACCTGCAGAATTTCCACCAAAAAATCCAAAGCCCCTAGTTACAGTTACTCAAGAGATCTAGTCTAGACTGGTCAATTCCTCCATGCAGAGGGAAAGAAGTAGGATTATTAGATAAGTTTCTCCAGAACCCGTCAGTGTCATAGACTTGAACATATATAATTAGAACACTTGTTTACCAGTTAATGACTAAATTATTGTAGTCCTAGCAGAACACGGAAGTCAATCCAGTTCTGGTTTGAGGCAGTAACTTATGTCAAAACTTACACTTACAGCTTCAAAAATATGTAAAAGGAAATCTTGAGATTACGATAATACTTCCTCAGCTTTCCCTCCAATCATATTTTACCGATAGAACAGACAGAAGCTCAGCGTCAAGACAAACGCCACAAAATTCAGTCAAATGTAAGATGGAAAACTTAAGACAAGGAAAAACTTACACTGACAGGTAGTTCTGCAGAATAGACTTTAGACATTTGTACATCCTCAACGACCAAGTAGGATGCAGTGTCTTCAGACAAAACAAGCTTTTCATCCTTCTCCTGCTGCACTTCTACAATTTGTGCTTTCTGATCTGGAGGCGGTGTCCTTGTTCTCCACAACGCCATGATTGTCCTGCTACAACAAAACAATGTTCTAATCTCACCATCGTCGAAACATAATGTGCAATCAAATGTAAGTCCTGTTTTTTTTTTACTGACACCAAAATATTTCCCCATAATACCTGCTTGCAACATTGAATGACACAAATGAATGAAAACAGAAATGCAGTCGGCCTTCTTCATCTTGACACCTAGCACCGTGCCTAGCATCAACTCCTCGACCTTTGCGCAAAATTATTACAAGTGCAGGGCTCCCCATGGTTGACCATGATGGGGAAACCACATTAACATCCTCAATATCCTCCCACAGGAAGAAAAACTTTGTTTTGTGACCAAACAAATTTGCATAAAATCCAACAATTCTGGCAGATAGAAAGATCCGCCCCTGCAGTAGCGATACAAAATTAAGTGATATGCTAGATTTCAACCCCTAGGAGTTGAAGATCAAATGTTCATAAACCATGTGTTAAAAACAACCAATTAAAACTAAAGCCATCTGGCCGAGCGTCAGTTTATAGTATACATCTCTATTGAAAATAAGTAAATGCTACTTAGGAAACCATCCCCATATTTTTGAAACGGAATAGATATCACATAGTCAGAAACTTCCAGATGTGAATGCTATTTAACAACAAGGTGTTAATTGAACTTGAACTATTTGCTTTCCTAATTTCTTTCTTTATTTTCTTGCTTGCTTAATTACTTTGTTTACCCCCACCCGCCCCCTTAAGTGTAGAACAAACTAGCATTATCAGTTCATCATTAACAGATTTGGCATAATCATAATGCATTGAAACAACAATCAAACACCACAGATCACTTAGAAGTTGAAACATAATAACGTAGCATATATTACAATGAAACCTGTAATGGCATCTTTCTTTTGAGGGAGCACGAGTAGTCGTTGATTAAAAATTCTTCTGGAGGCAGCCCAAAAATTTTCTGAAATGTTGAGTTCTTGTGTGGCGACCGAACGTTTAACTGCCAAGCATATCAGTTGGATGTTTTACACTTCTGCTAATGCGAAACAATTTGGAGGAAAAAAGAGAAGATATAACCCTACCTTCTTCCCAACTTCTTTTTCCATCTTTGTTAGGTAGTCTCGGATAGTTTCAACTCCATTGTTATTGTCCAAAAAAATCCTCAAGTGCAACTTCGATTGTGAAGACAGAGCAATTTTTCCCTCGAGAGGAACCCAAATGTCTGCCAATTCTGCAGAAGTGTGTTTTAGGAAATTAATTTCTGCATGCCCAAGCGATGAAGCTTGATCAAATGGACCGTCGAAGTCGAAAACTTCCACATCTAACACCGAAGGTGGTTCTTCTGCAGCATCAAACTCTAGTATCTCTGCAAAAGTATCAGGTAAGCATATGACACTAAATACAACTAACAAACGAGAATGAAAATGAGAAGAATATGCACACCACTCCACTGAGGGTCAAGAGTTTGAAGCTGGACAGAGCTAGTTCTTGTTTTGCCATTGCATGTAAAGACCACATATGGATCTGGGAAACCTGTTGGATCCAAGGAAGCTAAGTTCATTCCCTCAATCAAAGCTACAGTAAGTACCCATCCATCACCTTGTGCTTTGACTCCATGATCATTTCCTGTCAAAACCAGAATCTGTTAACTTAACTATGGACACAAAACCATTTTGTGAATCAAACAACAACAGTTAGACAAATAAAGAAAAGACAGGACATATTTAAAGACCTCTTCGCAGCCTAGCTTCTACAAAACGTGAAACCATGTTATATACCCGCTCCAACTGCAGAACTAGTATTCCGCTGGTGATAAATTCCCCAACACTATCCGGCAAATCAAAACCATGATACTCCAGTCCATGTAATTTGCTAGGCTCACTTAATATAATGTGCACTAAGACATACAAAACCATGAAAATAGTGGATACAACTGTAAAATTCCAAAAGTACTCCTTTGCCAGTTCCCAATCTGACTGATGTTCAGTCTGCAGAGATGCCAAAGCTCGATCCTTCTCTAAGACAACCTTTGAAGTTGTTACTTTCAATTTGCGAGCTAATACCTCTGCAAACTGGTCAAAGCTCTCCTTCAATCCTTGCCGAGCTCCTCCTTCAATCATTGATTTCATCATAGTGTTCTGGCTGAAGTTAATGGCCCAGGATACAACCAGACGCGCGGATTCTTCACCAGAAGATTCCTGTTGGCCAGGCATTATTTTGTAAAGCAACTCAATCTTGAAAGTACTCCCATATGGAACGTCAGGGGTACTTACAGAGATAAAAACAGAAAATTCTTTTCCATCAGCTTTAACATATGTTTGCTCCTCTGTGGCTTGAACAGCCTTAACTAATTTACTTGCTGCTTTCATATAGGTGACAACTCTTGTTAAGCACATGTCATCTGATTTCCATGACCACGGACCCTCGTGCATATCTGTTGTACCCTGCAACTCTGCCATATCTTTCCTGAACTGCGAATCAGAAGCAAAAAGAATCATGTTAAGATCTTTAGACGACACAACATATGTCTGGTCCAGCAGGACTCCGCCCTGCAGGTCCCCTGGCATTTCTTTGTCTTCACTTGTTGGCTGCATTCGCTCAATCAGTTCTTCAAAGCTATGGCTAACCGGAGACTCCTCCAAACAGTCTTCATAGTCAGATGTGGTCGTGGATATATCAGAAGAATCATCCTTCTTCAATTCTTCCTCGTCGCTTTTCTTGGCTTCTTCATTCTTGCTAAAAAGCTTCTCGAAATGGCAAGCAATGTTCTTCATTAAATGCTTCCCTTCCGAAATTTTCTTGGAATGAGCAGCAAAGCCATGCAAATCTTGAGAAGATTTGCTTATCACTTCATTTTCTCTTGAAATATCGTTTGTTGGATTTACATAACAGACATGATTAGTGGATACATCTTTGCCCTTCCCATGTAAGGACAGAGTGAGAAGAATCTTCCCTGCATTGATAAGGCAAAACAACTGCTCATAATCCAAATAAAGGAAAATAAAACCTAAAAGATAAAAAGCATTAAACCAATAGATAGTTTCAATTCACAAAAGGAGGTGGGGTTTTATCTGAGAAGATGCCAGTAAAAATGCGGAGCCCTTTTAAACTACTATAGATCGATAAAAGACTATCGCTAGCTAAAAAAATGATTTTTTGTCTAATTAAATTACAAATGGTATTGTTTATTTATCATTCTCTGAAAAATTGGTACAAGAAGGTGTAGTATTAGGTAACTAATTGAAACAATGTACACAAGGAGAAATCAAATTGGGTCATTTGCAACTGTACATATCCAAACATCCGCTAATGATTATCATAGTGATTATATCACTCATTTGAGGTGGAGACGGTTATCAAATTAAGTCTGAAGACCAAAAAGTATCAGACATTTACAAATTAAATCCACCCAACTTTGTCACTGTCAAACTTACATTCTACTCCAAAAATAAACAAAAGCATCAAAATGGGGTGCCAAGAGAGGAAGGTCAAAAAATAAAAGGAGGAGAAATTCTAACCGCAATCTCTGTTAACTGATTTTGCACTTTTGGGTTTTTGAAGAGAAAACCAAGTGGGAGGCAAGTTCTGATTTTCCTCAGCAGCAACGGACCAGACGGGTATTTTCACCTTACCAACTAAATCCCCATAATGAACATTAAGGAATCCAGAATCATCACGATGTTGATATACAGAGAGAACAAGTTCCTCCTCTACATCGTTAACCCTGAATACAAACTCTTCATTCCAAATAGGGTTCTTAGTATTTTTCAATACCCTTGTCTTGGACTTGAACTTTCCTAGTTTTAACTTAACGTAAGAGTCCTCCACTGCCCATTCCTTGCCCTCCAACAAATACACGTAAAGTCTCATTCTTCTTTAGTACTACTAATTAGAAAATGAAATACGCCGACCCGATTTTGCTTTGCCGTGGAGGACACAAATAGAAAAGGAAGTGCATCTTCTTTCTGGCTTGGTTTGTTGGTCGTAAGTTGTACGGGGAGGAGAGAGAATTCATGGTGAAGCCATGAAGAAACGTGGGTTGGTTTGGAAAGTGACACGAGGGAGAGGGAGATTTTGTTATTTTTGGGAAAAAAGAGGAGGAGGCGGTTTGTATAGTTTATTATTAGTAGCATGTTTGGGACTTTGCTGGAATTGGTTGCCATCTCAGTTTATCTTCTTTTTTGGCATGGAATTGAGTTGCCTGAGGGGGTGAGGTGGTATTAGGTAAAAATTTAGAGCTTGTTTGGATGGACGATACGTATTGTTTCATAAATTATTTGACAATCGTAGGTGAAAAGTAAAAGAGAAAGAAATGAAGAAAAGGGAACAGCCAACATAGAAAAGAGCGGCTGCCAACTTCTTTAGGCGAAACTTGATAACATTGACCAAATGCTACCTGCAGATAAAGTCATCGTCTAGATTATAGCGGTAGGCATACTTTGCCACTTTGGGGAAATTAAAGGAGATCGTAGCACAAGAGCATTTTATTGGGGAAACAAAAATGTTATTGCAGTGTGCTTGGTTATTCATGTTAAGCTTTGCAGTCGAAACCGAAAGAGAGGTAAATTTACTTTGGCAAAATCAAATAAAAATAATAAGCTTAATAAGAATCTATGCTACTATATTATTTATACTCCCTCGGTTTTAATAATAAATATGATGTAGTTTATTAGGCACCTAGTTTTCAAATAGAATGAAAGTTTGTATTCCGAAATTTGCCATTAAATTTATATGATCATATGACTTTTGAAATTTATGATTTTAAATATATTGCTATGTGGCTATAATAATTTATCATTAAAAACAAAATAAGAAGTCTAAGTAAATGTGATTGTCTTCTTCAAACGAAGTAATAAGGAAAACTATTTTTTGCCTAAATGAAAAGTACTATAGAGTATAACTAACTTTTTTTCCCGTATAGAGTATATTAACTAACTATAGTTGCTTTATTGTGCAAATTCCACTTAGAAAGAATCGAGATGGACCACTTTTACCGTGCCAATTAAAGGTGTTTAACGGGTGGGCCGGACCGGGCCTATATTTTTTGGACCCGTACGGGTTACGGTCCGGGCCGATTACGGATTGGGTCTTAACGGGTTTAACGAATTCGGGTTCAACCGGGTAAAGATTGAACCATAAGGGTTACGGGTTGAGGGGGGCGGGGCGGGCCGGGTTTAGTATAATTTTAAATTATTTTTTTTTTGGATTTTGTATAAATATTGTAAGTTATAGTATTAATACAAAGTACTAACATAAAGAATACAAGGAAGATGGGAAAAAATTATCACTTATAAATTGCAAGTGCTATATTTATTTCAAAATTATAAAATTAAAGTTTGCATTTAAAAAGTAAATTAACAAATAAATAGTAAACTAAATTTTCATGCATAATAAATTAATAATACTTCAAATTAATCTAACAAACTAAATCATTAAGCATAAATACGTCTAATAATTTAAAATAACACAAATTGTCTTAAAATCTTAAAATAACACATATATAACATATTTTAAAAATAATACGTTACCAGTATTCTATGATTTGAGCATTTATAGTTTTATACCCTAAATATATACACTATATGTTAAATTCCAACAATTTTAAATTATGTTAATTAGTATACAATAATTGGTATATTCATGGTATATTTATAGTATATTTATGGTATATTCATGTTATATTCACGTTCCGGGCCGGTCCGGGCCGGGCCGGTTAATCGGTTTAACGGCACTGTTCATCTAACGGGTTTTACCGGGCCGGGTAACCCGTTTCAAAAATTTAAACCGTCCAAACCCACCCCAACCCCCCTACCCAGCCCAGCCCAGCCCCTCCTTACCGGTCTGGGCCGGTTCCGGGTTCTATCGGTCTGGGCCGGTTCGGAACCGGGCTGACCCGACCCGTTTAACACCCTTAGTGCCAATAGGCAATAGCGTGACACGCAAATATATTCCTGCATGGAATTCTGAATGTCCCTTTTCCCAAGGAAAAACATATCTTGGGCAACGTTTAAAGCTTGATTTCGAAAAATCAATACCCATGCGAGAAAAAAGTTTCACCATTTTGTCTTCTCCCATCATTCAAAACATTTGCGGCTCAATCTAATATGTGGCCTAAAGCAAAATTTAAAAGAGGTTCTAAATTTCTTAGTAAAATTTTTATATATTTTTTTGTTGATGTTTATTCATAGCTTTCTAAAACGCAGGAAAATTAATTATATTTGATAATCAATTCTTTTCACTTAATAATATGGTCATGATGTGTAATTCTCATCTTAAGTTAGATCTTACTAATTTTAGTTTACAAACCTTTTGCAATTGAGGAAACTGTTAGAGAAAATATTAAAACTATTCTATAGCAATAGAAACATTTAAAAAAATTGATTAAGACTTCACATATGCAAATTGGAGTATCATCTTTCACTTGTATAATTTTTATATCACTTTAATTTCCAAAATTGGTAAAACCATCAATTTCGTAGATCATTATGGTTTAAAAGATATTCAAGGTTGATGGCTTGTTTGACTAAGCTTCTCCAAGGGCAAATACTTTCCCCCTAAAAAGTACCTTTTTAAAAGAAGTTGAGGGGTTTGACCAACCTTTTAGGAGGAAACAGGGTATAAGACATCATATTTTCTAATCTAATCGTTTAATAATCAAGTTAGCTTGAATTTGAAAATATTTAAAAAGACATTCAAAAATTTGAAAGAAAATCTTACAACACCAAAGTTATAAATAAGAATGATTCAAGCTCAAATGCATTAGACAAAATTAAGATAGAAAATAGCTAAAATTTAATTGCTTTCTATTTTCAACCATAATAACATTATATATTTTAAAATAGTACATAGTATAAATTTTGAAAATATGGACATAGTGATTGATAAAAAATTAACAACATATGATTGCAAAAATATATTTTTTACTAATGATAAAATATATAATTATTTATATTATATACATAATTAATTTTTTAGGGGCCTAAAGTCATTGCTGTAGTGGCTTTAGGGTTAAGCCGCCTTTGATTCAAAATGGCCGCCTATTCAAACGGTGGTCGTCTTAAAAGAAAAATACACAAAAAATTTATTAAAAGGAAAAGTCTGTTATAAATAGAATTGTATTTATGGTGAATGTTTATATTTAGAGAGATTCTAGGGTTCATTGCTTGGTGGCTAAGTCACTCTCTCCCTATAAATAGAGGATTTTATTCCATTGTAATTCATCCCAAATCAATAAGAATTCTCTCCCTCTATTTTTCTCTGCAATACTCTTCTTCTTCTTTTATTGTTTCATAACACGTTATCAGCACGAGACTCTAACCAATTGAGTAGAAACTTTGGGATTGAGCATAATAATTGTCAATTGTTCCATGAACTCCCTTCATGATTAAATTCTGGATTTAAGGTAAGTGTTTTACCGTATTTTTCTCTTTTATTCTATAATTTGATTTTAAATACAAGCAAAGACAATAAAATTTGATTATAACTCTAATGGAGTTAGTAAGAAATTATAACCACTCGAAGTGGTAAAATTTCTATGTCTTGCCATGATCAAATTTATGTATGATTATGGGCACAAGAAGTGCATACCCGTCCCATTGAATTTGCTTCATTCTCATTCCCTTAAGAGAATGTGATAGCAGTATGTGATAAGTCTGATAGAAGACAAAATTATTACCGTGAAGGTATCAATGAATGTGGACGTGGCAATAGACGAAATTATAATCGTCATCATTGTGATAATGAGAATAATAAGGATTCTCAAAATAATCCTTCACTCTGTGAAAGTAATATTTGTCATCGATTTGACATGAGATTTTATAAAGCAGATACAGATGACTATGGTTAGTTCATGATGTGAATGTAACAACATCTGATTTATGAATACATATTCATTCTTGGAAGAATATAAACGTGCTAGTGGTAGTGAATATACACACTCACCTCTAGAAGGAGGTTTGAGATGATATAAGAAATCAATGTCACTATTATGGCATGAATGGTCATTGTCACGTACCTATTGTACGCCAAAATATTTTGGCAATGTGATTATTAAAGGACAACAATAATGCAAGAAACATATCTCGCATATAATTTGACCATGACCATAATGGTATAACTTTCTCCTTAAAAGAGATATTCACCATATGGATGTTGATGAATATGTGATAGTACAAAATTAATTGAGAACTCTACAAGAGCCAATTATACAATTTTGGAGAAACACAATTGATTACCAATAAGGTATTGTGTTGTAGTGAGTCTCAAAGAAACTTATTCAGTTTCCAAAGTATAGGGAAAGCAGTTGGTTATATTGAGACTATAAATAAAGGAAAGATTTAATATCTTCTATTACTACAACTTGTAGCGGGATAATATGTATGTGAAAAGCTACCCGCTTTATTCTCCAGTTTGTACTGCATAAACAAAAGAATGCCACAATAAAGAGAAGTTTATTGATATAAAAATCCATATCATAATAAACTTGGAGTTTATTGATAATTGCACACGTCATGGTGTAAATCTGAAGTTTATCAATATTGATAATTTATTTAGTTGGCATAATTGGTTTACCCATATCAATTAAAGTATGATGTGCAAAAATAAAAGATAATTCACATGGGTAAATATTAAAGAACTAGAAAGTTCTTTACGATTTCTCTTATGTTGGTTAATATACCAACTAAAATTGGGATTGAATCCCATGAATGCTGGAAATATCAAAGGTGAATATGGGCCCATTCACCTGCCATGTATACCACATAAGATGCATCTATGAGATGGTTACATGTGCGATTATTAATAACCCGCAACATGGTATTTGCGAGGTAACTTGCTCAATAATTTAATTTCGAGCATAATTTCCAGATTTTCTATTCAAGAAGTTCATCTTGATAAGTTGGTTTACATCACAGTTGGTTTAACAAAATGATTTATTAAGTACCTCTACTTAATAGCTAAACAATTGCTTATGAGAACAAAGTTATCTATATCAGTTTGATATACGTTATTGTAACGACCCGGCCGGTCGTTTTTGGAATTTACGCCCCGATCCCCAATTAACTGCTTCCCCTAAGTTCATTTATGCTATTTTGGTAT